GGATCATTGACATTGCTTCATTAGCTGCGGACGAGGACGCATTTCTCTCCTTTTCCAATTCAATGCTCAAATCCAATATTGTCTGTTGCTGCTTGCTGACCATCTCACGGAGGGCGGCACATTCATTTTCAATGTCAATACGTGCCGTATGAGGTAAGATGACATCGTGCTCATCGTACTTGCGTTTCATGTTGCGGGCCCACGTGCTATAAAAGGATCCCTCCATCTTTGAACAGCTGCTGCACCCACAATCACAGCATTTGACCGGACTAGCTGACCTTGGGGACGCGTTTTCAGAATCCATGGAGTAATGCGCAATCAACCACACCCCAAACAATGAATTTTTTATTTTTATTTTTTATAAATAGTTATCTCAAATATATAATCAGCCTAAGAAGATCATAGCTCCACCCCTTCCTATTCAATTATAAGCAACGCATGTCCCTCAACAGATAAGCCAATTTTCCCAATCCTCGATCACAATACACAATTGGTATGGAAATTCCTGCAAAACACCAAAAAGAGCCACGATTAAACGTAAAAATAATCCTAAATTCCAGGCAGGTAAAGCGTAGAATATGAATTGCGGTATACCCGGAAAAGGACGAGGAAGAGAAATTGATGTGAAATTCTCCCGGGAAACGCAAATTATTACAGTACAAGGTTTCTCCCCGGAATCGGAAAACTTCAGGGAAAAAAAAGAGGGACGTAAGAGATGGAAGGGGGAGAAAAGATGAAGAAAAAAACGATGCGGCGAAATAGAGATTGCCTAATTTTTCTCTTTGGCTGCTGGATGCGGATGATGACCCACCGGTTTTAGTTTGAAAATAGAGATTTGACAGTAATGTACGTTCCGCATTAACGCCTATTGGTTGACTTGGCCTAGCGTTGGTACGAGAGGCTGTTTGGCAATTTCTGAATAAGTAAGTGCTTAACCAGTAAAAGGTCTGAAGCATTAAGTATTAAATCAGTAAGAGATCTGAACCATTAAGAGTTAGTATATTGTTTAACTATTCAGATACAAATGTCTGATCAATTCAGATAAGAGGTCTTAAACATTCAGACTATGTATAATACTTAACCATTCAGAGGCAAATGTCTGAACCATTCAGACATCTGAACCATTAAGAGTTTGAAACTGTTAGAATAAGTGCCCTTCACTAGAGGGGGGTGAATAGTGAGGCACGAGAATGTTTATAAATTTTCGCGGAATAAAAATCGCAGGGATAAAGTAAAGAGCGGAATAAAAAGGAGTAAAGGGAGCACACCAAGATTTACCCTGGTTCACCACAACTTGTGGCTAATCCAGCCTCCCGAGAGACTCTCTCGAGCTACACTACTTCCGTTAAGCTTACGGGTGCTTAACAAACCGTTACAACCTGAGAACTCGAGTCCCACAAGCCTCAATACACTTGCTCGGAGATACCGCACTCCAAGACTTCAACCCGAAGGAAAATACCTTTCCTTCGTACAACCAAGGGAAACAAGCTTCCCTAAACGTGTTTACAACACTAAGAACACTCAAGAACAATACTCTCTTTAAGAGTAGATGTTGAGTAACTATATACGCTCAAGAACAACTCAAACTTCACAAATTGGCTCTAGAAAGCTATGGAAAATAATGTTGTTTGGATGCAATGATAATATGAATAAGGTGAAGTGAATTGATGTGTAAAGCAGACCCAAACACCCCTTTTATAGTGCCAAAAAGGCTCCAACGGACCAATACATTAAAGGGGTGATTGGCTTGATTTATGGGATTGAAAAGATTTGGGATCTCCAGGATATTGGCTTCCCATCGATGTTAGGGACTTACCCATCGCTGGTAAGCCAATTTTCCTTCAATTTTGAAGCCAACGGTCACCTACCCATC